TCGGTTCTTTTTTTCGTATTCTCCGTCAATGTTTCCCCTAGGATTAACTTTAAGAACATTGAGCCACAACTGTTTCGGTTTTTTTATGTATGGGTACGGGATATAACAAACTTGATGCGCTTGAGAGGCTGTTTCATAACAAGGAGAATTTATTAGGCATATACATATATATATATATATTATTTATATTATTAATGTGTAAATTTTTATACGAACCTAGGATAAAAGGTTCGTATTTATTGTACTTTCTTGACGAAAGTACGTCTACAACACCACCATTGCTCCTCCGAGTGCCTCTACCGAGAACAAGATCATACCACTTGCACTTAAAAAGTGTGATCTTCAAATTGACCATTCCTTCATACTCAAGTTCTATGATATCAGTTATTTTCCCGTAGAAATCTGTTGCATCAGATGCATCGGTATAATTTTCACCTTTAACACAAACCCCATAGTTACATGTCTTTCGGCCAGCACCATGATTCTCTGTATGAAACAAATAACCTCTTGTAAAATATATTGGCCATGTTTTAGCCTTGTTCAAAGGTCCATGCACTATCTCTTGAACCCAGGTAGGAAAAGGATTTGTGGCGTTCCAGTAAGTTACCTGCATATATAGATATATGATGAGCATATAAAAATCAATAATTTAGAAAAAAATTATATATATATAAAGCACTATATGTAAATCAGTATGACATACATAATCTTTAACCCATATATGATATTCGTCAGCTCTTTTTGCGCAAAGGTCTTTTCCGGAAAGTCTTGGATATTTTGCTGAAATAAAATCCTCGAACATACTAAAAGAAGAAGATCATAAAAGTATTATATTTATGATGAGAAATCATAGTGGGTTATATTAGATTAAGATATATATTTATATATGTATATACCTCTCAATAGGTTGAAAATAGTCACAATTTCGTAAAACATATGCATGTGCGCATGCATAATCTCTATCTGAAAGCCATATTTCACGCATTTCCCCACTTGGACGACCAACATGAGTAAACAGAGTAGGTACTCCGTCGACATGATATACAGGGACTTCACCTTCATCAAATCTTGTTAACCTGACAAATTTGGGTGATGAAAATTAAGTTTTCGATCGTTAAGAAAATAAATAACATTACTTAATTTTAGTCTTTACCTGGATTTTGTTCTTATGTTCGCGGCAAAGTAGTGTTCGGAGAAATAAGCAATCTCGTCATTGATATACGATTCCACAATTGACCCTGCCGCATATCTTTTGTTCTTTGCTTTTCCTTTCAACTTTTTGAAAAACCGTTCAAAAGGATACATCCACCTATATTGGACTGGACCTCCTAATTCAGCTTCGTATGGGAGATGTATAGGCAAATGCTCCATCACATCAAAAAATGATGGCGGAAAGATTTTTTCCAAATTGCACAGGATTAAAACAATGTTCTGTTTTAGAATTTGAAGGCGACTGGTTTGCAAAGTCCTTGAACATAAGTCCCGAAAAAATGCTCCAACCCCTATATAATATATATTCAAAAAATTCATTATTAGCTTTAAATAATAATTTACATATGGAAAATTAAGAGTGTTTAATAAAATGAAAGTACCTGATAACGCAAGGTGGATGTTCCGATCAAGGAGTTCGGCAAAAATAAATGGAAGTAATCGCTCCATAAAAACATGGCAGTCATGACTTTTCATGGCTGAAAACTTTCCATTTTCTAGATCAACACAACTCGCCAAATCTGAAGCATAACCATCTAGGAATTTTACCGAATGTTTCACACATTCCAGTAAACTTGTTCTTGCTTGTTCGGTCAATGTGAAGGCTGGAAAAGGTGCTTTACCCCTACTGTCAATATGTAAGTGTGGTCGAGAACAGAATTTCTCTATATCCAATCTTGACATGATGGTATCTTTTGATTTACCCTTTACACCCATAAGAGTAAACATGATGTTGTCCAAGAAATTCTTTTCTGTATGCATCACATCAATATTATGTCGAAGATTGAGGTCACACCAGTACGAAAGCTCCCAAAATATGCTTTCCTTGTGCCAATGATGTTGTTTCCCATACCCAGGAATCTTCCTTTCATGACCATTTCCACCGACATCCTTGGTTTTCGGTGGATTGACACCTTTTAACCGCTCAGAATAAACTTGCTCACCGGTCAAAGACTCAGGTGGATACTCTCTAGAAGCGTCTTTTCCCTTCAGGAAATCTTTTTTATTCTTCCTTAGAGGATGACCATAGGGAAGAAATCTTGTATGACAATCAAACCAACACGTCTTCCTTCCATTCGGTAGGTAAAAAGATTTTGTATCATCCATGCAAACTGGACAAGACAATTTACCATGGGTGGTCCATCCAGA